AGTTAAACAAGTACAAATCACAGACTGCCTGTGTCATGGTGAATACAGTCGCTGCTTTATTTATGTCTGTATAGGCCGTTGTTGTGAGTGTGGACGGTCGGAGCATATACTGCGTTAGCTTAGCCAATCTCCATTTAGAAAACAAGCATTTTAAAAGGTTTTTCCCCTGCCGTCTGTCTGCAGACTTGACAAAGCATTAATTCATGGTTTTTACTAACCGGTATCAGTATGTTGTTACTTCGGCATCATTTTGAAACGTGTATTACAATTAAATCACGGTCAAATATGTCCATCTTGTTGTAGTTGTAGCCCCCTTGCCAGCGACGCTCTCTCTAGTTTAGCATACTCAGCCCGACTCAGCCTCGTTGTCTCTGGCCCTAGACCCACGATTTTATGAGGCCAGAAAAACTGTGAATTAGGACCCGCCGGCCGGTACTAGGCCAAGTGGAAACGCAACCAAAGACGGGCCGCTGACGTCACAGCCCTCTTAAACCGGGCTGGCGCTGTAGTGGAAACGCGCCAATAAAGGGCTCAGACGCTGAAACTTACGAGACAAGTGAACGCATCGCTAAGAAACTGTGGCGTTAGTTTGAAGCGTTTTAATTTTTAAATCAATGACGTCTTTCCATAAAAACAACAGGTAATTAAATTACATTTGAAGTTAATAAACCAATACAAGTACGGAAGGTCAGAGAGGACAACATTAAACAATTATAATATTTCGTTATTTTTATTATTTTATGCAAAATATTAAAGTTTAATTTTGAAATAAAAGATTCTAAAAAATGTAATTTGAGAATTACATTTTTTGCATTAAGTTGAAATGAATAGTTTTAGTAAATGACATACATTATGTAATGATATAGAGAGTAAGATGATATTATATATTATTATATATATATTATAATGTATCCCAATCTGATATCAACATCTGTTTTTGGATCGTTGATATTAAATGCTATTTATTTATTTGAGCGCTAACAGAAACATCAATCTGTGTTTACTCGAAATGTTTCTAGCAGGAAAAACAACGTATACACTTTTGTGAAGTATATATGATCGCGCTCCAACACATTGTACGTGATAGGGGGCGGGACATGTCCAAGCCATTGACCAATCACAACAGATATGCTAACCAGCTAACCAATCAGAGCAGACTGGGCTCTGGTTTCAGACAGAGGGTGAAAAGAGGAGCTGCAGCACAGGCAGTATGAGAAAATAAAGAGCTTTTTGAACATTAGAGCACGGAGACATGAGCTGTTTGATGTTGGAGGATTCTGTGTTTCTGCAGAAGCTTAATTGACGTCTCACTTTCTCTGAGTCTCTCAGGTTTATCTCGATGGATTTGGCTTCACTGCCGTCTCATGGATTTATGTTTGTTATGTTTCCCTCAGATGTATTTCATCCTCGTCACAGTCCATGTTATTTTACAAAAACTCCCAGCCTGTATCTCTACAATGTGTAGGTGTATATTTTGTCACCGCAATGTCAAACGACCAATGGCAAGCGAGTCCCCAATGTAGGTTTGCAAACTTCAATGTGTCCCTACGAAGGTAAAATTAAATAAACATGTCCCCAAAATGTAGGTGTCGAAACATATCGTTGTCCCCAAAATGTAGGTGTATAACAAAATGTCCCCAAAATGTAGGTGTCTAAACATATCATGGTCCCCACAATGTTGGTGTATAAGAACATGTTGTCCCCAAAATGTAGGTGTCTAAACATATCATGGTCCCCACAATGTTGGTGTAAAAGAACATGTTATCCCCAAAATGTAGGTGTCCAAACATATCGTGGTCCCCACAATGTTGGTGTATAAGAACAGGTTATCCCCAAAAGTGTAGGTGTCTAAACTGATCTTGGTCCCCACAATTTAGGTATATACACCTATTGTCCCCGCAGTGAAACACAGGTATGCACACACCTGTCCTACACCTTAAATAAATCCTGCAGATCTGACAGCAGAGTAAGGAGAGTTTTATCGAGTATTTATCTTCTTTATATTCTCCTGCACAAATGCATTTCACGCGTCAGCCAGGCGGAGCCAAAAGAAATGTAAAGAAATGTCAGATTGAGGAGAGGACGGATAAGAGAGGCAGATAAAGTGAATCAAGGTGCGTTTGAGATTAGAAAGGTGAAGACATCCAGGGAGACGGGTGGAGACAGGAAGAGGGTTTGGCAGTGAGCTGCTGAGAGTGTGTGTGTGTGTGTGTGTGTGTGTGTGGTGTGTGTGTATTGTGGAGAAATGAAGTGTATTAACTGATGCATTATTCAACATTATAAGCAAATTGAAGGGTGACCTTTGGTTCTATCTTGGGGAAAATGTTTATCATAATAAAGCGATTTTGACTATGTTAAATTCAAAGATTTCTCCTCCTTATATTAACGTGACTACAAATAGAAAATTAACAAGCAAATAGACAGGGTGAACACAAGTTCAAACCAGTGGCTCTTCTGTCAGAAATTGTTTAAAATATTTGGACAAAAGAGGCTGAAATGTGTCCAAATTGCTACAGATATTTTATCCAAATGTAGACCAAAATTGGGAAAATAAGGGGCATACATCTAATCCAAATTCGGGCAAAATTTGAGTTTAGGTGAACTGAGATTTTAAGACAAACAGGTTCCTCTTAAGCAATTACATAATAAAAAAAAACGTAGACAACAAATGCAGAAATTCTGCTCAAAATTTGATTTTTTTTTGTCGAGTACATTTTTGGTGACACATTTTCCGATTCAAATTTGGAGAAAAGAGCCAGAAATGTTATTTTCTTTTTCTCCAAAACACGTTGAGAAAGAAACTCCATCTCAGATCCTCAATAAGTGAGTTTTTCTGCATGAACAGAAATCCTGAGGCTCAGCAGGCGACTCGATGACACTATAAAAATAAACACAGTGAAAATAAAACACAGAGAGAAGGACCATTTAAAATGAATCTGCATCAGTGAGGATATAAAAAACTCTTCAGTAGATCTCAGCCGTCCTGCTGTTCACACGTTTCTGCACCAAAAAGAAAAGTTTCAACCAAAAAATGTAAAAATAAATCCAGTGCAGTCAGATCGGACCCCGCTGCAATCAGAAGACAGAAATAAAGAAATAAAATTATCCGTGTTTTGATGCTTCGCTCCGGAGACCCTCCAACACTTCTTCCTCAAAGTGAAGGTTGCTCAATCTGAGGGTTGAGACCCCCAGCAGGGCCGTGAGGTAAAGGAACCTGAAATAAATCCAGCGGTTTGATGGCAGACCTCCTCCAAGGTGATCCTGTAACAGAGAGTTTTTCTTCAGGACGCCTGAAGGCCTCTGCAGCTGGAAGAACAAAAATAAAAACAAAAATATAAAAACAAAAAGATAAACATCAGCAGCTGATTCAAACAGCGGCTTCTTGTTATGAAGGAAATGTGAAATTCACAATGAAACGTCTGCAGATGAGATAGCGTTCAGAATCCCAAAAAGCCTCGGTCTGGATTGCATCTCCCTTTCACAATAAAAGCATCTCCCTTTCACAATAAAAGCCCTAGACATAAACATGGACTCCTTAACTACAACCAGCTAGTCCATGAAACTGTCAGCCGTTCAAAAGCATAAAGCTTTGTTAGCTATAGACACCTGGGTGCAAATAGCATCCGCCTTAAAAAAAAAAGCTACATTTTTATGACATTTTGTGCAATTTATTTCCAAAATTTGACACATCTTCAGAGATTTTGGGACTTTGAATTAAATGTAAACATATGAATGAATTAATGATGCTTTTATACAACGTACCTGGGGCTCTGGCAAGTTTTTCTCCATTTCTGGGGAACTGGACAACCAAAGATCAAGTCAATGGTTGTTGGTTTTGTTCCAGAAAAGAAGGTTTTTCCACGATGTCCTTGGCAGGATTTAGTCTCCGGAGCTGCAGATCAGCGTTTCAACATCAGCTCGCACCAAAACACACAAGTAACTAAATGTAAACAGTTTTGGAAAACAGTCTCGTCCTCTTTCAGAAAAAAAACCTCAGTGTGTCCTCGTCACAAGTTTCTGTTAATAAGAGTCAACTTTGAGGACAGAACGTAAAAAAATAAATAAAAGTTTTTCTGTGGTGAGGAGCAGCAAGCCCAACGCGCTGCCTGGCAGGCAGTCAGACAAAGGTTAGAGATCACAGAAATACCTCCAACAGCTTCATATTCACTCTGTGTTTCCTGCTGAATCTTGAGGAGGATCTCTAATCACTTTGGGATCTGGGCAAAAAATCACAGCAACATGTCCTCAGAAAAGTAGATTTCTCAGATAAAGACAGTTCAAATCATCCTAAATATTCCACTTTTGTTTTGTTTAATGGAAGTTTTTCTCCTATTTTTCTCATTATTGTATTTTATAATCAGGTGATGTCCTTCCCTGACACATTTTTTGTGGGGGAAATTATCTTCACGTATGACGACCATAATTAGTGAAACGTTGATTAAATAAGGTTTGTTTTTCATTATCTTTTTGGATGCTGTGTGTTTTAGTTTTTTGTGCCCACATGTCCTGCCTGCCAGGCAGACTGAGGCGACGGTCAGACAGGAAGCAGAAACACCAGGCGAACGTTTTAAGATTTAGCTTTCCCAGGCTCGGAAAAAACACTGATTTAAAGTCGGTTCTTGCGTTAACTGTTTTGTTTCCAAAATATATAAGTATCTTCTTGTTTGAGGCAAGTTTAAGGTATTAAACGTGGCATAAATCCTCGAAAAATCATTATTTTGGTCCCAATTCCTTTAGAAAATGGAAAAACATTGATTTTCTGCCACTGAAGAGGCTGAGAAATAAGACAGAATAAGGATAAGTGCACTGTTTTGGCAAAGGATTAGCGATAAAGTTGAATCTTAAATTGAAAATGTGTTATAAGTCCTGGGAAAATATGTTTTTTTTGCCCCAAGTTTCCCCCAATATTTGTTTATTTTCCTGATGCCTGTGTTTCTGCTTTGCCTCGACGCGCCTCAGTTTACGGGTTGCGTCAGCGTCGCTGCCCCTCACGCTGCCTGTCAGGAAATCCGGTAATCGAAGGTGTCTTTCTCCATGTAGTCGGTCCAGGTGGACGCCGGCATGCTGCGGTACGGGTCTAGAAGGATCCGGAAACAGCGCACGATCAGAAGGCCGAGGAAGATGAAGAGGATGAGGACGAAGAGGAAGGCGGCGCGCTGTTCTAAGGTCAGGTAGGAGGAAGAGAGGAGGAGGAAGAGGAGGAGATGTCCGACTCTGACGCTGAGAAGGTGCTGTAAAGGTCGTCGGCCATCGTGATTTAGACGATCCTGCAGAAAAGAAAGGAGATAAATACATTTAAAAAGTGCATTAAATGTGAAGCTCTGTTGTGATTGGTTAACCGCTTAGAGAAGTCCCGCCCATATGAGTGCGTTCACACCGGACGCGATGCGATTTTTGGGCGTGATTACATATGAAGTCGCGGATAGACGCAAATTTGTTCCGGCGGCGCGAATGACGCAGATGAGGCGATTGACGGGGGCCGCTTCAATCGCGAGAGTTAAATGTTTTCAACTCGAGCGTCACATTTGCGTGACGTGTTCGCACGTTAGCAATCAGCGGTGAGGAGCTCAGTGACGTCACTAATGTTGAATCAGGAAACCAAAACATCAGTCGTTAGCTGTTAGCCGTTAGCTGTTAGCACACGAACAAAGTTAAACACGAACAAACCACAGACTGTCTGTGTCATGGTGAATACAGTCGCTGCTTTATTTCTGTCTGTATGACGTTGTTGTGAGTTTGGAGGGAGCAGCTACATTGTTAGCTTAGCCTGATCGATAAGATCTCCATACAGGAAACACACATTTAATACCTTTTCGCCTGCCGTCTTGTGTACACACGCATTAATAGCTGGTATTTACAAACCGGTATCAGTATGTAGTTATTCCGGCATCATTTTGAAACGTGTATTACAATTAAATCACGGTATAAAATATGTTCATTTAGTTGTAGTTGGTTTCTACCACAGTAATCTTCATGGAGATAACCCCGCCTCCTGGCCAGCGCGTCCTGTTTGAATGACAGGAGTAAACACAGCTGACAGCCGCTGTGAAACTCGAGACGGTTCAACATCTTCCATCAGATCTCATTACTGTATTTCATGTGTTTCAGAGGCAGGAGCCTGAAGGCATTGCAGTATTTTTGATTGATTTATTTTCAAACGTGTAAAACAATAATACAAAATAATAATATAATAATAATAATAATAATAATAATAATAATAATGAAATGAAACAAGAGAATTATGATATGTACAAACTTAAGCAGTATCAAATTGATGAACAAAAATATTACTGACTTACAAATGATATATAAACAAATGTTCTGATACACATCCCACCCCTTCTCCCAAAACTAAATTATTAACATAAAAACGAACTATAAAAGTAGTATAAAAGCAAAGGTACGGCTCAGGTGTCTCTGAAACCATGACTCAGCGTTAAACAGCTTCACAGTCATCTGTAAAATAAAGGATTAAGTTCCTCTGAAGGCAGAAAGAGACGAGCTGCATCTTAAAGATTTCTCTCCTGCCAGAAGAGCAGCGGACAGAATAAAAATGTAGAAGAAGAGCGGCGGTGAAATATTAAAGAGAGGGGGGGGGGGGGTGCTGAATGATATCAGAGTTTTAACATTTACCAGATTTGACTCGTAATTAAAACGTATAAAACAGCTTCATGACCTACCTACATACCTCAAAGTGCACCTATCATGCTATTTGTAGGCATATATTATGGGTCTCAGATGCAAATATATAAAAACATGTCTATGATGTGTTTTGCTCAAAATACAAACAGATCATGCATTTTAGAAATCCCTCATATCTCTCTATTTCAGCTGTTAGAGAAACGCGGATTTTGGGTCTAAAAAAGAGGAGGCGGAGCTAATGCCTGATCAGAATTCGACACATCAAGGATTATTTCTGAAACAGCATGGAGCTCAAACTCTTTTTCTCTTGCGGGTTTATCACAAGGTGAGTTCCTTTTTTTATTTCCTGCTTTTTAAACACATGTGCTCTCCAGTACAGGGTTAGCACTGAGTGTTAGCGATGCTTGCTAATGTAAACAAAGACCATATTACGTCCAAAAACACGTCAGGCATTGTTTCTGATAGCAACTCTCTGTGGGTCCACCATCCGAAATTACGTCATATCGGACGCAAATCTGGATCAGCTCCATTGTTCCCCCGTTTTTAGAGATGTGGGTATGGAGGAAAGAGAGAGGGTTTTATTTTCGGACACTTTGAGAGTCTCCTGACACACCGGGGACACACCGGGGATACACCGGGGACACATGGTGATGGAGAGAAGACATCACTTGTGAGTCTCCTGACACACCGGGGACACATATTTATGTAGAAAAGACATAAAAAAGGGAATTTTGCATGATAGGAGACCTTTAAATCTGAGTTATAATTTAACCCAAGCATCAACGTTATACCTTAAATATAGGTTTTTAGGATGAAATAATCACATATTGATGATCTAAATAGTTAGTTTCTCACCTTATGAGTGAAATACCTTAATAACAGTTCATTTAAAAGCTTTAAAAACCTGTTTCTTTAGCAGGTAAAGATTGATAAAGCCTGTGATGCTATGCTAACAGGAAGTACCAACACATTGTACAGTGATTTGATCCCATAGAGCCGCAAAGCATCAGGTGAATACGGGATGTTTCTTTACACTCGTCTGAGAGAAGAGACATTTTTGAAGTAAAAACATGTTTTGCTGCAGGTTCAGAAACAGCTTCTTGATCTCACTTCGGAAACAAGTCA